GAGAGAGAGAGAGAGAGAGAGAGAGAGAGAGGGGAGAGAGAGGGAGAGAGAGAGTGTTAGGTGTGGGGAGCAGCCTCTAAGTCCTAAGGGCTGACCTCGAACAAGTTAATGAGTATCTCAGAGCTTCAGTTTCTCTCTCCATAACATGAAGACTGTACTACCTAATTCTCAGAGCTGTTATGGGCATTCAGTGAAATAACTCATGAAAAGCACTGTCAGCACAGGGCTGGTACAAGGTAAGTGCTCACTTCATATTACTAGCATTGATGGTGATGATTTGCTGTGAAGAGTTCACAAAGGTCTCAGAGAGAACAGGGACTCTCACTAATTTGCCACTGTGAGCACCAGTTTGTCAAAAAACAAATGACAGATGAGAAAAATGACAAGGAAACCCCACTTTGAATTTCTATGTCTTGGCCACTCTGATGCCTACCACTTTTGCCTTTGAAGGGTCTGAGTGACCTCCTTAGATTCTCTCCTCCCCTCCTCACCACCTACCCTTCATCTCCTCTCTTAACCCTAGCCTCTCAGACCAAGAGATCTGTTCGTATTTTTACCTACAATGTCATTTGATTCTGTAGCCAAATACAAAGTTGTCAATGAAAGGAAATGCTGCCGTTTGTGCATATGTAAGACACTCAAGATTTCAAAGTTTTTAGCAAGTCTAGCACAAAGATGTCCAAATGTTTTCTCTGGCGATATCTTCAGAGGCTAAACTGTGATTAATAGCCCAGAAAGAACCCTTTGAAGCAGGATTGGTGACATCAAAGTCGTAATCCAGGGGTGGCAGGAGCTTTATAATGAGTGGGAAGCATTTTAACACATTTCAAAGGATTTACAGCATGAATAAACAATAGACCTCAGCAGATGTGCCACACACACCTTTCAGAAACATAACCTATAAGAAGTTTCCATTTTAATTTAAATGTAAATACAGTGTTCACACTTCTTTTGAATGTTAAGCATCCTCAGCACCTCACCCCTAGACAGCCTCATTGTCTCAGGATGCCTTATTGCCCCAGAGCTCCCTCCTACGCTTCCCAAACTGTGAAGAGAGAGAGAGAAGACCAAAGTCAGAAGCATCTGATAGAATTTATATCCTATGTGGGAACTGGGTTAAGAAAGAATCTAAAATGGAGCTTGCAATGATCCCACATAATTTCCCTGCTTCCAACTTAAAGGGAAAGAGACAAGTGGTTTGAAGACAGAGCTGAAACTTTTAAAAGATGGCAATTTCCTGCCTGCTTCAGAGGATTTTCGGCTCTTGGAAGGTACCCAGCACCCATGATTTCATCTCCAGTTGCTGTTTAAGAATTGTCCAAAATGATGGGCTGCTGTTTTAAATAATCACGCTTGGAATTTGGCTTCCCTCTGCTGCCCCCTCTGGGTTTAAGGGAATCGGTTGAAGGGTTCTGGTGGTGACTGCTGGTGGGCATTTGCTTGAGAAAGTTTCCTGTTTTCATTTTCGATAGCACAAGGAAAAGGCTAATGAGCTCATAAACAATTACAAAGCAAGGCTGAAAAGTAAAAGGCATGTGTCAAATTGCTACTCAAAAATGAGCCCCTCCCCCCCCACACACACACACAAAATCAAATGCTTCATCTCTTCTGTTACTAGACTGGGTTATCGGAGTAGGCCTGAGAACTAAAACCAGATATCCTACAATCAGCTTGGATACTGGAAACCAAAACCACACCTTCCTGTCTACATGAAAATAACCTTGTGCTAGTTCTGTCTCCATAGCATGACTTGCTTTTTCCAGGAGTCTCCTGTCCAGGCAAATGGTTTGATTGTTCATCACAAGAACTTCCTGAAAGACCCATGACCCATCAACACTTCAATGGAAAATGTCCACAGACAGCTTAAGCCCTGTGATTCTATGAATCTT